CGGCGCGCCAGCTGGATGTCCTTGGGCATGATGGTGACGCGCTTGGCGTGGATGGCACACAGGTTGGTGTCCTCGAACAGCCCCACCAGGTAAGCCTCGCTGGCCTCCTGCAGCGCCATGACGGCCGAGCTCTGGAAGCGCAGGTCGGTCTTGAAGTCCTGCGCGATCTCGCGCACCAGCCGCTGGAAGGGCAGCTTGCGGATCAGCAGCTCCGTGGACTTCTGGTAGCGCCGGATCTCGCGCAGCGCCACCGTGCCGGGCCGGTAGCGATGCGGCTTCTTGACGCCGCCCGTGGCCGGCGCGCTCTTGCGGGCCGCCTTGGTGGCCAGCTGCTTGCGGGGCGCCTTGCCGCCCGTCGACTTACGCGCYGTCTGCTTCGTGCGMGCCATAACAAACGACCTTCACAACACCCGAAGAGAACAGAGAATTGAAGCGAGTAGGGTCGCAACGCCGGTATTTATAGAGCTGTCGCGTCTCTGATTGGACGGGATGAAGCGCCATCTGATTGGCTGCTGTGGAATCCCAGCGCGGGCTCGGGAAGCTGAAGCGCTGCCGGAGCCCCCCAGCTGCGACCCCGCTCGGATCGCAACTGCTCGGGGCGAGTCCAGGGGCTGGGGCGGGAGGGTATTTCAGCGTGATCGGATCCCTTCTGCTTCTCCGGCTGCTCGTGACTACCACTCTCCTGACAGATAAAAAGAAGCGTGGAGGCTGAAATTTAAAATTTACTTGCGCTTTCTTTTTCTTTATTTGTGTCTTTTTTTTTTTTTTTTTTTTTTTTTTTTTTTTTTTTTTTTTTTTTTTTTTTTTTTTTTTTTTTTTTTTTTTTTTTTTTTTTTTTTTTTTTAATTTAAAAAAAAAAAAGTGTCTGGGATCACCTTGTTCTACCAGCTGGGTGGTTCCTGGAGAATGTCAGTCTTAGGGCAGAACAGTGAAGTGCCACGCTCTGCAATCTTTTTTTTTCCAGTTTGGTTTGGTTTGTTTTTTAATATGATGTGCTGATTACAAAAGAAGGACAAACCTCCTTCAGTGCTGTACAGAGCTCCTTCTTACATGATTACTCAATTTATCCCCAGAGGCACAAAGGGAAGATCGGCAGGTAGCTTGAAACTGAGGCGCTCAAAAAATCCAGTACAAGTTCGTAGCTATAGCAAACATGTAACAAACTAGCGATTTGAGATCTTTTTAAGGTATTTTTTCATGGTTTTCATGTTTTATTTTCACTAGGAAATTATGAATGAGGCCTTACATATCATCAGGCAAAATCGTGGTGATGAGAATACTTAGGCAATTAACTTTAAGATTTTCTTGGTGAGAAATTAATTGGAAAGGAAAATGGGTCTATCATTTAAATTTCCCCTACTCACCAAGGTGTTAGAAAACCAGGCGGTACCACAGTTACTTATATCATTATTTGCAAGTGCCAAATGATTTTCAAAGATTTCATATGAAGTACAAATGTTTTTCCCTTTCTGTGATGAAGTACTAAACACTCCAAAAGTGAGCCACAGACTGGAGTGATTTTGTCTGTAAGAAAAGTGTTAATTTGAGGCGCTTTTAGGCAGATTTATTTTAAAAGTMATGTCATGGACAAGGTCATGAATGGCATTTCAGATAACAGTTTAAATCGGCGAAAATTWAAAAACCAAGCTTTTCGTTTCATAACATATAGTCATTTTAATGAGAATGTAGAACATGAAAGAAAAAACTGRTCTCACGAGGCAAAGACAACTTCCCCGTTACCCACGAACTTGTGCATTTAACAGCATTTTATAATAGCAAAATCTTGTATTTCTCTTATTGATATTGTTGAGGTTTTAAAATTACATCATTGTTTTATGGTAAATACTCGTARAAGTAACACAGCTCTTTAAAGGARAAGGTGGGTGGCTCTGAAAAGAGCCTTTGTGTTCTGAAAGCGTTAAGCTGTAGCRGRAAYAGAATTTAGCCGCCGAAGCCGTAGAGAGTRCGWCCCTGGCGCTTGAGAGCGTAGACCACGTCCATGGCCGTGACAGTCTTCCTCTTGGCGTGCTCGGTGTAGGTGACRGCGTCGCGAATCACRTTCTCCAGGAACACCTTGAGCACACCGCGCGTCTCCTCGTAGATGAGCCCCGAGATGCGCTTGACGCCSCCGCGCCGAGCCAGGCGGCGGATGGCCGGCTTGGTGATGCCCTGGATGTTGTCGCGCAGCACCTTGCGGTGGCGCTTGGCGCCTCCTTTGCCGAGCCCCTTACCGCCCTTGCCCCGACCAGACATGGTCAGACACTGAGCGCTCCTTTATCTGAACTGTGTGCTGAGACCGCCGGCACTGCGGMTTTTATTCGGTGKGAGCCGACCTGGTTGARGACTGCAGAGAAAAGGGGCGGGGCTTAGTTCTGGTCTCCACCGTCTCACCGCTCTCAATTGTGCGACCCGAGAGCAGAAAATTGAGGAACCTGTGCGAATTACCCTTCCCCGAGGCACAAGCGTTTCGATGTTTCTGTCACTTTTCGGTGCATTACTTGTGTTTCAGACAGCAAAGACATCGTGTCAGTTTGTATAATGATTCATGTATTTTTAAAAACCTTTGATGTGTCGTGATCATTTAGAAGAAAAGGTTAATTCATAGAAAGTTACTCCAGTTAATTATTCACTTGTGCTTTGCTTTGTTATTTTCAAAGATGGGTATGTCTTACGTATTTCAGTTCCATCTGCTTATATGGATTCTCCTGKGTGCCTTCTCTGTTTATACAGTTATTGCACATTTTTACTGTAATGGATAATCTTGCAGCAAATTCTGTCCAATCATATTTCTGAGAAATTCTACCCCTCCTCTTTTATTTTTTTTCACATCTTCATTTCCTGCTTTCTCTGAATGTCATCTCAAGGTGACAGTGCAATTTAGCAGTGCAGATATGCTAATTAAGATTTTACATGTTTGACTTTCATTTCTTAAGGTAAAGGTATTCTTTTCGATKAATAATTTTAAAGTATTTTCCATTGCTGTGGTGGCATAGACGAGAGCGTGGTTATTTTTAGAGAGACTGAAAARTTAARTTAAGAASAAGAGTGGTTTTGCATTTCTTGGGTGTTTATTAATTCTGTGTTTGCTCTCTTTAGCAAAGGAAAATGTTCTGAGATTTTGCTGTTGAAATCAAAAAGCAGTATTTAGAAAAAATATTCAGTAGACAGTTTCCGACCTGAAAATTACSTGGAAGGATAAGAAAAGTTTCCAGTACTGAGCGTTTGCTGCCCTCTCATGGATGTTTCTTGATTGCTTGGTTATGGTTTGTTTTCCTCCTAGCTGGGCAGCTTTATGGGATGTATGCTTTCATGAGGATACTACAAAAGATTAAAAAATCATTAAGCTATCTTCACATAGACCACATATACAGATATTACATCTGCTAGCAGATAAATCACTATTCCAATGGCCCGTCCCTCACGGAGAAATGAAAATCTGACACACATTCATGCGGAATCTTTTCATCAGAGGCCCAAAGGAAGCCCAGATGAGRCAAGACAAACACCAAGACTCTGAAAGAGACATCCTAAAGTTTCAAACCTTTAACAAAGGCTCTGTTCCACAAGGAACTTGGCAGTACTCTAGCTTGGGCTATGGAGATATTTCCAGGATGCAATGTGGATGCCACAGGTAAAGTCTCAGCCCCTTTCTTTTGAGAACCTTAAAACTTACTCTTGAAATGTACATAACTTACATTTCACAATTAATTTAGCCTAGCATAATAAGAAAGACCTTTTTCTCTGCTTTATTCRGCTGTCATGGTTTAACTCCAGTCAGCAGCTAAGCACCATATAGCTGCTCACTCACTTATTCCCAGAGAGATGGGGGAGAGCAAAGTGAAAAAAACTTGTGGCTTGAGATAAAGACAGTTAAATTGGTGAAGCAAAAGCCATGCACACAAAGAAAGCAAAACAAGGAATTCATTGATCGCTTCCAATGAATGGGTGGGGGGATTTTTTATTGTTTTCCAAAGACATGCTGAGGCCATGCAGGATAAATTCTTCACCTGATAACAATAACCATAAAAGATACGAAGATACACAAGAAGTACAGGAATAACATAACTCACTAAGGGAGAATGACAAAATGAAGAAATATATGTATGAAAATTACCTGATTTTGTGGTAATCTGACAATCAATTGGGCTTTGTGGCAACTAATGAAGATGAAAAATACTGTAACYTCATCATGCAAAAATGTTCATCACTAAAAAGTGATTTATTACTCAGTGATGCAGTAACATAAACTGAATTCTTGAGAGGTTGCTGTCTGTTCTCCWATCTGTAGACCTTCATCTAACTAGTTCATTTGCCATTATTGGAACATCATAGACTTTTGTTATTGACATTTACTAAGTAAATRCCTCTGTGAAATAAACAGTTGACCCTATGAAAGAGAAAACAAATGAAAGCAAATGTTCCTAATAATAATAATTTGCAATACTGAACCTTTTTTTTTCTTCCTTCCTTCTAATTTTGGGACAGCTTAGCATTTAATCATAAAGTGTATTTTTCGGTTTTGGGTCAAAGTATGACCAGCCACTAAACATCAGCACATAGCACATCTTAGAAAATGCTGAGCAGAGCTCATCTATTTCTTTCTTTCCCTAGTACCATGAGGTATCTTAACACATTTCAAAAAAGAAATTAATGACCATATGTCAAAAAAAGTCATAGAAGAGTCAGATGTGTTCCCTTTTCACTAAAATCATAAATCACACATTTGAACCTCAGTTCAGTCGGTTAGCCAGAAATTTGAGCCATGATAGCAAAATAGTATCACCTGAGTTTTTCTTAGGATATAAATTTTTCTTAAGACCAGAATAGGAATCTGCTTATTAGGCAGAGAGAAACCTGCTGAAGATGATATGGGGTCCTGAGGGACACAATGTGATCAGACACCACACAGTGACTTAGTAATTTGACATAAGGTGTTTCTGAGGGACAATCAGTCTGGAGTTGTACACACCTTTCCCACAGCTGAGATGAGATGGCATCCAAAGGCCTAAGAGTGCACRAAATGAGGAGGAAGTTGGATGAGAAATGATAAATTAGGGTTACTGACTGATATGCCAGGGGTGGAACTGGCATAAAGATGTCTTGACACTTATCTCTGTAGTACGACTTTTCTCAGGCCACTCTTGCTCTTTACCACTGCACTACCCTTCCCCAGAARCTATGTTATGCTATGCAACTCAGCTTTACACGTTTAACAGGATTTATTTTTTTTTTTTGTTTGATGCTAATTTTGTTCCTGTATTGGACAATCTATCCACTGGAGCCTACATAATCAGTGCTTTCAGTGTTCCTGCATATATACACTTCCTTTCTCGTCATGTGGAACAATATTTTCAGTATTTAGCAGCTATCTTCAGCTAAGCCTAACGTGAAAGATCAACTTTGCTTGAACTTCCTGCTCATTATCATAATAAATCCCCATCCACAGGCTGTGATTGCCCCATTCCCACGTAAACCCCTTCTTCATAGAGTATGCACAGTAAAATACCTGTGAAGTGTATCTTAAAACGGAGACGGGACARCTGTCAGTGAGTACAGCTATAAGTGGTTACACGCACAGAAAATACCATATTTTTATTACTCGAGGTGTGCAAAAATGAACACCCGCCCAAAAACTGAGGGCTGCAGCTTCAACGAGCGAGAACTTGAGCACCGAAGTGGAGCACAGCGGGCAGCACCAGACCTCGGACTTCTCCGACCCCGCTCGCCCTACGGTTTCCAAAGCGGGAACAAAAGCAGACTGGAAGTGMAAAAGCCCGCGGGGCGAGGAGGGGGGGATGCGGGGGGGAGGTGGAACAAACCTACCAGGGGGTTTATAAGACTTTTGAACAAAGACGGTTTGAAGGAAAAGGCGTGGCGCCTTTTTAACCCGAAAACCGCTGGGCACTAGAAAAGCCAAAGAGCAACGGCCAATATTTGCGGAGCGCGGGCTTTTCGAAATCTGCCGGGCTCTGGGGGCGGTCCGAGGAGCTTCCCTGCGCAGCTCTCCGCCCCCCGGCTGATACGAAACTGCGGCGAGACGAAGCATGCCCGCTCCCACCCCCCTCCCAAGAGCCTGAGCACCCTGAGCGCTGCCCTGCTACCCCGAAGAGCTCGGACTCGCACCAATTTTCTGCAGAGAATGGGAAGGTATTTGCACCAACGCCCGCCATTTTTTATTGAGAGGCTGGTCGGCACCAGGAAAAAACTAAGAACGAAAGCGCAGAAATGTTACCGGGTCCTCTTAAAAGCATTATCAAAGGTGGGGAAAAAGAAGTTAAAATACACGTGCACACACAGAGACGCAGAGTTTCAGCTCTTTTTGTGAAAATTTGGGTGGCTCTTAAAAGAGCCGTTGGGTTTATCTGCAGAGCAGATAGAATTTCTTCCACACAATTTATTTTTTCTTGGGAGCCGCCTTCTTTGCCTTGGCTGCTTTCGGCTTGGCTGCCTTGGGTTTAGCTGCTTTGGGCTTCACAGTCTTTGCCTTTGCCGGGCTCTTCGCTGCTGCAACTGCTTTTTTAGGCTTGGCAGCTTTTGTCGCCTTCTTGGGGCTCTTGACTGCTTTCTTGACTGCGGCGGCCGCCGGCTTCTTAGCTTTCTTGGGGCTCTTCTTCGCTGTGACCTTCTTGGGCTTCTTGGCGGCGCTAGCGGGCTTCTTAGCTGCCGGCTTCTTGGGCTTGACTGCGGCAGTTTTCTTCTTGGGRGCTTTTTCCTTCACTTCTCCGGGTTTCTTGCTGAGGCGGAAAGAGCCGGAGGCGCCGGTGCCCTTGGTCTGCACCAGGATGCCTTTACTGACAAGACTCTTAATGCCCAGCTTGATGCGGCTGTTACTTTTCTCCACATCGTAGCCGCCGGCGGCCAGCGCCTTCTTGAGCGCGGCGAGGGAGAGCCCCTTGCGCTCCTTGGAGGCGGACACGGCCTTGGTGATCAGCTCGGTGACGCTGGGCCCCGCGGGCTTGCGGGCTTTGGAGGCGCTCGCCGCCTTCTTCGGCTTCTTGGCAGCGGGAGCTTTGGCCGGGGCCGGGTCGGCGGCGGCAACATCGGGAGCGGCGACGGGAGCGGTCTCAGCCATTTCGACTCCTGCCCGATCCAGACGAACAATGGAAGCGCTGCCGCCGCCGCCCCTTTTATAGCAGCACCGAGCGCGCTGATTGGTGCTCGGCGCGCTGCTCCGCCGCCCGCTGCCGTGCCTGTTGTGTTTCTTCAAGCTCCAAAAACATCTTTTTCCTCGTGAAATTTGCTRCCGATGCACCCCGTTTCTTTCCGGAAGGGGAGAGGGGCGTCTGTCCTACAAGCTAATGGAGTTTCCCATTAGAAGGAGCAGAAATGAGGGAAGCACGACCGCTGAAACTCGGCGGCGTGGAGCCGCAGAGACCTCGGCAGAGAGAAACCTTCGGTTTATATTTTAAATTAAAATTATAACTTGGGTTAAGTGGGCACAACTGGCATGAAATCTTATTCTTTAAAAGGTTCTCTAAAGAGCAAGCGAAAACCAGAGTGGTTTGAACATTTGGTTTCAGAGTAAATGGATATTGAATCCGAGGAAGTAACACAGTTTCGCCCCACGGTCCCAGACGCTGATGCAGAGCTGACTCCCTCGGCTGAGCCGCTCTCCTCCGAAATCTCCCCGCTCAGTGTCTCTTCAGCAATCGCGGTGTCTCAGCTGCTGTCTTTCGGGGAGACGTTTGTGCTTTAGCAGGGTGTGTGAAAGTCGATGTTACTTTCCTTATGCTTCGGTATTTCCGTAGAACAAAGCACCGACGTGCCCCGTCTGAAGACTTATGTTCCTGTCATTGCATTTTCAATGAAACCTTAACAAACTCGCTTTCTTTTGTTAAATTCGRAAGTCAGGATAATTACAATTACAGTATATTTGCTTTTAATGGTAATGCTAACAGTTATTACTCGTCTTCTCCTTGTAATTTGGTARAATTGTTTGGGAAGTATCTGGAGTGTACTGAAATTTGAATTGTTCGGRGATCTAAAGCTGGAAATTCGGTCTTTTGAGGGTCTGTTGAGAAGCCAGGACACTTAATGCAAAAAACTGACTTCTTGATTTTTAATGAATGAATGTTGATTGTGTAAGTTTTTATCTTTGATATCACCATCCGGTGATTCACCACTTCGCTATTTTCAGAAGTGAAGAACCCATATCTTCTCRAAAGGATCCCTGCTCGGGGAAGTGATAGCTCTACATTACAAACAGTGGAAGAATTGTTTCTTTTTTTCTTCTTAATTTTCAGTGCAAGGTTGCTCTCATTTAAATATCAAACAGTTAGCAGTCTGCCTGCAATAGTATTGTCTTTCCTACCKTCCATATCCGGGCTATCATCAGCTCCTAAAAACCTGTGAGCAGGTATATTCACAGCTAAAAGTAGGTGCATAGAATCCCTGCTGTCTRGGAGTGTGAGAATAACGAAACACATTGACTTATTTGAGAAATGCCATWTTCTTTTCTCATTACAGATGTTCAATTAAAAATCTAAACAGCCACAGAGYAAATGCTAGATTTATTTTAGTACTTTGAAATACCTTTGTTTCCCCTGCTTGAACTTAAATGTTGAAAATTGCAGCTTAGTGAGGTCTCCCTCAGTAAACCTATAAAATGAAAATAAATGCACAGTTTGGATGATCTGGCTGCTATAAGAAGCATTAAAAAACTGCAGTGTGACCCTGCACAGCTTTGCATTGTTTCTTGATTTAACACAGAAATGGGAAAATATGTTTAATATGCATTTAATCTGACACTTATTTCCTATAGTATAGGATTAAGGTCATAGTATGGTATAGTATAGTGTAGTATAGTATAGTGTAGTGTAGTATAGTATAGTATAGTATAGCATAGTAAAGTATAGTATAGTATAGTGCAGTATAGTATAGTACAGTATAGTTTAGGTTAAGGACTTCAGTGACATTACTGAACACTGTATCAGAATATTGAGACCCTGATGAATTTTTTTTTTCTAAACTAGTCATAGTAACCCCATAAGCAAGAAGAACAGAGTTCAAGGCCTCCCAGAGGCACTAGTGCTAATATTTTGTAGTTCTACAGTCCACTGATACCTGTAAATAAGTGGTTTGTTTGTGTCAAGCTATTCACATTCAGCATCAACTTTCTGTCAATTTTTTGGACTTGTGCAAGGAATGTTGTAATCTTTTCCAATCTTTGAAAGACTCGGTAAACATTTTGTTTTTCCATACCTTTTTATACCAGTAATGAATTCTGAGATTACTGGAAATGTGAACAGGACATTAACATTCTTCTTTGTTTTCATTGTCATGATTGTATATTGATTTGCTTAGATACGGAGAAGTGTTTAGATCTGAGATTTCACTCTCTCAAGCCCATTTTTCCTTCATGTAAGATATCGCTGAGAATTGGAAATAATCTCTACTCACTCACTATGAGAGACCAAGGAAATGCAGATTGGTTGTATCGAGCTGTGGATGCTCATAGGAAATGAACCATTATGRACTCCTTTTCAATGGAGACCAAAACAAAGATGGGCATAAACCTGAAGATGGGAAGGGCAGACCTGAATGTGGGTGCAAGTCAGAGATAATTTTTTTCTTCAGCTATGTTTTGCTTTTGGATATGCAAGCATACTATCCTAGATTCATCTAACCATTTTTATTGCAATSCAGTAAGTGGGTGTTAATTTCCCAGCCACTGTAGACTAAAATCTAATATTTCAGCCGCTATAGAATATAACCAAAAAGAGGGAACAAATGCTCAACACAGCAAGTTTGTGCATTTACATATGTACAGCAAAAAGGCTTCCCAAGGCTTTGATACTCCATTATTTCTTCATGTAGAAGTTGTATTTTGGTATCATCATTCCATTCACCTTCTCCTATTTCTTTTAAATCAGCAAGTGTTAGTAAAAATACTGAAATATTGAAATTGTGTTGAAATAGTGAAATGATTGTATTGTATTGAAATAGTGAAATGATATTTTTCTTCTAGGAAATACAGATGTTTATGAATTAGCATAGGCCTACACAGAGATTCTACACAGARATTTTTTAGAAGGTTAATAGAGATAGAAGCCCCCCACATTGTCAAGTSGGTTCATGTTCTGCATCAAAATCCCGCATGTGCTGTAAATCAATTCAATTTTATGCAGATTGCTTATAGAAACTGGACATGGACCCTTGCTACTGTTTCAAAGACGAACATGGTAAGTACTAACAAATGATTATTTTTCTGTGTTTTAAAGTGAAATTTCAAAAAAATGTCTAGCAGGGGTGTTCTAATGTTAAGTAAATCATGAATCCCTGTTCCTTCTGATTAAAAGTCACAGGCTGCCATTATTTCCCTCCATGCCTACTGACATTTATTTTCCTGAGTGACTAGTAAAGTCCAAATGTCYTATAGTAAATGTTTATTTGGTGTTTTCATTWTCCCATGCCTAAATGAACAGCCCCCAAATTCTTCACCAAGAGTTGTGACTTCCACAATGGTGAGGCTCTTGCCTTGGATTTAGAGCAATCTTATTTTATTTATCAGACAATTTCTGCAKATAAGTCAAGGCTCATGGGAAGATATGCACCTCAAAATATTAAAAAAGTCTCTATTCCACATTTGAAACCTATATTATTTTTTTATTCTCACACGGTAGAACATGCCTAATTGTCAGGAAATGAAACAATTTTTAAATTACAGAAATTTAAATTCACACAATTCAAATACTGCTGAAAACTGTATCRCTCTCTTTGTCCACCAACATTCTTGAGAGGACAGAAATCCTGTTTCTCAGTGTGCAGAAACAYGAAAGGACAGTAACTTTTTTTCCTCTCAGGTGGAACACTAGGAGTTTCTGACATAGCATTAGACCTAAACCTGCTGCTGGAGCTGGCAAAAGGATTCAAATTATAAGAAGGGACATTTTATGCTTAGTCAACAGCACAGATTAAATAATAAATACACACTAGAAAGAGCCATTTTCCAGGTCACAGATTCCCAAAGCTGATTAAAGAACGATGTGACTTAGAAAAATCACTGTAAGAAACATATTRGATTTCTTGCCAGAATTGAAGGGGTACGATGTGAATGAGGCCTTCTTGCCTACAAGCAATGAGTAGTTATTGCCCTTTGCAAATGCCAAGTATGAAACTAGCAGATAGTTTTGGTACAGTGTAGTAAGGGAAATCAAGGATGTTTGACAAATTTCTCACCCATGTGGAATTTTTTGCTGCTCCTCCCTATGGCAAAATCAGTTTGTGGAGTTCCCCAGCTCCATCAATATGAATTAATTGAACTCAAATTACTGTGTAACAGCCCAAGCTCTGGGGGATATTTTAGTCTACCCTCCAGGTATTTCTACCCTGAAGGGACTATCTGCCTGCCTATTTCAACACCTATTAAATCGATGTTCTAGTTTYAGCAAAATACATCCTGCATTGTAATGCAGGAACAGAACAGGTTTTTTTTTTCTTTCATTTTCTATTATACTAACTTAAAATAGCAACTGTTTGTTTTTTTTTTTTAAAGAAAGAGACTTACATTCGTCCTTTAATTTTTGATGCTCTTCYGTAATATTGCTGTATTAAAATCTCTAAACAGAGCATTTACAAAAGAGAAAGATGCATCATTAACCTAACAATGCAAATTGACAGGTGAATGAGGCAAATCCTCCAAAAGAACTTTGATCCATTTTTTGGCCCATGGAATTTTGAGTAAACAGTGAACAGTGTGTCYGGGCTTCTTTGCTGTTTTACGAAGATTTTAACGCTTGCATAAAAAAGGAGATTATCAGGTGGAGTCTTCAGAATGCACTGAAGTAGATAAAAAGAGGGAAGATAACCAGATGACTCTTAACTGAGAATTTTATTCAAAAAAGTGCTAAATACGAATACAATGAGTGTGAAACATCGTTTTCTGAGGCTCCACATATCTGTAAACGTTTAGGGCAATATGTAGGAACAAAGCCTAGGGCAGCCATTTCATAGTGATTTCTGCTGTTTGCTGCAGCTGGGAGCCATTTTGAGATTCACTTTACAGCTGACTTGCTCACATTTCACATGTACAACACTGGTCCTTACTGATGGAATATTAAAAGATCAACTAAGTGTTTCTGGCAAAAAATCAGA